TCTCAGGGTCTCACCTGTTGCCCAGGCTGGCCTCTAACTTGTGATCCTCCTGCCTCAGCCTCCCAGTAGCGAGGAGTATAGATATGTAATACTGTGCCCAGGTCCACTTGTTATGGCTTAGGATCCAAATGTCCCAAAAGGTTCATTGTGTAGGAAGCTTGGCTGCTGATAGACTTTTAGGAATCTGTTGACTCATGAGGTCTCTAATGTGACCAGTGGTTTAATCCTCTGATGAGATCATAATTTGATGTTCTTGTGGGAGGGTGTGGAAACAGGAGGTGTGGTCTCGTTGAAAGAAGTGGATGACGAGGCATGGCATTTGAGACAGGAGAGAAGGGCTTGGCACTTCTTGAGGGACATTTTACTTTTCTTGTGCATCTGCCTCAAAGGTCTTGTAACCAGCCACAGCAGCCACATCAGATGTCACATGGCGCCTCTAGAAGGCATCTGCTTTCAGTGCAATAAGTTTCAGCCATGACTCCATCCTGCAACCCCCTGCTAGATGATTTCATCTCTCTGCAGCCCTCCTCAGTCAGGTCCTTGAGGAGCCCCTCTGCTACCCATAACCAAACAGAAAAGCATGGCTGGACACCTGTAATCCCAGCATTCCAGGAAGCTGAGGCAGAAGGGTTACAAATTCAAGTTCAGTTTGGCAATTTAGGGACTTGGGGAGATCCTGGCAGAAAAGAAGAAATTAAAAAAAGGGCTGGGAGGCCAGTGAGATAGTTCAGTGGATTAAGTGACTGCTTAGGCAAGCACAGAGGACCAGGGTTCGATCCTCCACACCATAGGCTGCACTGGCCCAGCCCCTGGGTGCACTGAGCCAGCCACCAGGAGTGGCATGTGCCTATAATCCCAGCATTGGAGAGGCTGAAAACAGGAGGATCACTACAAGTCTGATCTGTGTAGTGAGACCCTATAGCAAATACATAAAAAATACACAAATAAATTAAATTAAATTAAATTAAATTAAAAAGGGCTGGGGATGTGGAGATGTAGATCAGTATGAATGTCCTGGGTTCAATCCCTGTACTGAAACAACAAAGGAAAAGTCTGACGCTGTACATACGTGAGCCTTTTTTCCTTTTTTGTTTGCTCTATCACTGAGCTATACCTCCAAAAAATATAGGGAAAAAATTTTTTTTTCAGTGCTGGGGGTTTGAACCTAGAACTTCATATATGCTAGGAAGGAGTTCTACCACTGAGCTACATCCACAACGCCTTTTCTTTTTTCTATATAAGCAATTTCTTCCTTACCTTTAATGGGTCAGTTATGCACTGATTCCCTCTGAATGCTGTAGCACAAATCCTAATTATGCCACTTTTTCTTTTTATGTATTTGGTATAGGGTCTCATTACCCAGCTTGGACTAGTAGTAATCCTCCTGTTTTCAGCCTCCCTAGCGTTAGGATTACAGGCATGTACCACCATGCTGGGTGGTCTTGGTGGCCAGCTCAGCATGTCCAGGCCATGTGGGACTGGCACGGCAGGTAGTTCTGGAGAATGGGCCCCAGTCCCTGTGCTTGCCTCGGCAGACTCTTAGTCTGCTGAGCTATCTCACCATAATGCCTCTTTCAGGTGGCACATTTTTGCTCAGTCTTGCTTTCTAACTTGAGTGGAACATACAGAGGTGCACACTAAGGGCTGGTTAATCCCAAGGTTTGCTGTCACTGAAAGCAGCCTGAAGCTGGGGCTAGCAATGCTGAAGGCAGCCAGCAGGCAGAGAGCAACAAAATGAAGAGCAGCAAAAAATTACTAAAGGCCCCTGTATCTGCTATCCAGAATAGTTTCTGAGGTCTACTGGTAGTTGCTGACTCCAAGTGGTGAGGAAGACCCCTAACACACCAATAGATAGTTGCTGGCATACAAAGCTCAGGCTTGTTAACATTAAAAGAGCTACATTTTATCTACTTATCATTTCTATCTGAATTAAGCAAAAGAACCCTCAGCCCAGTTGGTAACATCTTGGTGGCTTATACAGGAACCTTCTGCTCTACAGGGCCCTGAAGAAGAGGATGGATGATGGCCAAGGTCATCAGCAGTATTTATTTATTTATTTGGCACCAGGAATTGAACTCAGGACCTCATTACCTGCCAGGCAGACACTGTGCCACTGAGCTATCCCCCTGGCCCTATGTACTTATTTTTTGAGATAGGGTCTTGCTGTGTAGTCCAGGCTGGCCTTGAATTTACTATGTAGCCCAGACTGGCCTTAAACTTGTGAAGATCCTCCTGCCGCAGCCTCCCAAGTGCTGGGATTACAGGTGTGTGCTACCATGCTCCACTGGTCATCAGCAAAAGGGAAGTAGCTAAAGAACTAGCCCATTTTGAATTTCTATCTTACATGTGGCTAAAGGATTACGGATACCACTAGCTGGTGACACTTGGGGTACTATATCTGATCCCAGTCCTTTTCTCTCTCTCTCTCTCTCTCTCTTTTTTTTGGCAGAACCAGGGATTGAACTCAGACCCTTGCATTTACCAGGGAAGTGCTTATTCTACCGAGTCATCTCTCTGCTCCCCACCTTTTTAAAAAAATTTTTTTTTCAGTACCGGGGATTGAACTCAGGGCCCTGTGCTTGCCAGGCAGGCACTTATTCCACTGAACTATTTCCCTGGCTCCCCCACTTTTTTTTGAGACAGGGTCTTGCTGTGTACCCCTTGCTGCCTGCTCTTGAACTCATGGAAGTCCTTCTGCCTCAGTGGGATTACAAGAGTGCACCATCATGCCTAGCTCCAGTCTTTTCTTCTCTGGTCTGTTCCCTCACTCTTTGCTTACTAGCTTTCCTGAGCTCAGGAGCTTTAGTCCACCACACCCTTCCACCATGATGTTCTGTCTTTCTTCAGACCCACAGCAATGGAACCAGCTGTACATGAACTGACAACTCTTAAACTATTAAGCAAAATAAACCTTTCCTCCTTGAAGGTTCATTCCTAGGTATTATGTCGTAGTGATGAAAAGCTGACTAATGTAACCACTTTATCTCTTCTTTCCTACCTGATATATATATATATATATATATATATATATATATATATATTTTTTTTTTTTTCAGTACTGGAGACTGAGCCCCATGCCTTTGTTCTAAGCTATATCCTCAGCCCTTTTGATTTTTTAAGACAGGATCTCACTAGTTCACCCAGGCTGGGCTCAAATTTGCAATCCTCCTGCCTCAGCCTCCCAGAAGCTGGGATTATAGATATGTACCACTATGCCTGGCCTTCTCCCATCCCCGCCAATGCAGGGTCTTATTATATAGTCCAGGATGGCCTCAAACTCAGGATTCTGCATCAGCCTTCCATGTGCTTGGATTATAAGCATGCCCCACCATGCCTAGTTCTTTTTCCTATGCTTTTCTGGTTAATTCATAATAATATCTTCATTCAACAGATGTTGAGTACCTACTAAGAGCCAGGCTACCTTATTTTCAGAATAAAGCTAGCTTCCATTTTTTTTTTCCCAGACGGAAAAAAAATACCCACTTTTCTAATTTTCATGAACTTCAATGTCACTTTCTTAGAAGAAAACAACATGGAAAAAAAAAAAAGCCTTGTTCTGGCTCAGAATGGGAGTATTCTAGTATCTAGTGGAGATTCATTGGGTAACTGAGGAAATCACTTCATCTGGTCTTTGTTGAGGCATCTTTAAACTCTGATGCCCTGGGCCAGGGGCTAACAAGATATGGGCTTAGGGCCAAATCCATCCTCCAGTCTGTTTATATATGAATGTCAATAAATCATTTTTACTTTTGTAAAGAGCTGGAGAAGCCGGGTGTGGTGGCACATGCCTGTAATCTCGGCACTCTAGAGGCTGAGGCAGGGGAATTATCTGAGTTGCATAATGAGTTCAAGGCCTTTTTTTTTTTTTTTTTTTTTTTTTCTCAATTTTTTTTTTTTTTTTTTTTTTTTTTTTTTTTGTACTGGGGATTGAACTCAGAACCTTGTGCTTTCCAGGCAGGCACTTATGCTGCTGAGCTACCTCCAAGGTCTTCAAGGCCTATCTGGACTACACAGCAAGACCTTGCCTGCAAACAAACAAAATAAGCCAAGTAAAAGCCAAAATAAGCAGAGCCTGGTGATGCATGCCTATAATCCCAGTACTCAGGAAGCTGAGGCAGGAGAATTGCTGTGAATTCAAGATCAGCCGGAACTACACAGCAAGATCCTGTTTCTGGAAAAAAATAAAGTAGCTGGACAAAAATGGAAAGACTATTTTGAGATATGCTAAAATTAAATTATATTCAAATTTTAGCGTCCACTAGTTTTTTATTTTTAAGGTTGAGTCTTATGGCGTTACCCTGGCTCACGTGATCCTCCTGAGTAAGTGGGAATACAGGCGGTGAGCCAGGGTCCTAAAACTTTATTACATACTGTCATACCCACTTACTACATTGCAACTGAGAATTTATTGCCTACCAAGCCCAAAATACTACATGGCCCTTACAGGAAAAGAAAATTGTTTTGCCAACGCCTGTCTTGGACTTGAGTCAGGATTTGCTGTCCTGCTAATCTTTCCTTTGGCTTCCCTGGGCTCCCTTTTTCCCTTTTTCCATTAGGAGCCTCTGATAGGGGTGCCTGGGTCACTAAATCCGCTAAGAACGCCTGTTGCGACCGGGTGACTTGCTGTAAGACCGACGCTGACTCGGAAAAAAAGTTCATTATCCCTTCTCTGTCCCTCGCTTTCCTTCTCCGTGCAAGAGATAAAAAGCTGGGCTGCAACCGAGACAAGCAGGAGATAAGACGTGGAAAAGCACCCAGCCACGCGCTCGCAGTCCTCCTGCCCGTCTCCACGCGTTTCCTGAGCAGGCGTCGCAGCGGGGAACGCGCGGCCGCAGGGCCCCGGCTCGCAGCTAGCCGCAGAGCCGGGATCGCTGGGCGCTGACACCTCCCGCTGGAGGCGGGGCCGTGAGGCTGTCAATCACGGCCGCCGCGGGGCGGGGCGGGGCGTGACAGGGCGTGGTGTAGCGGCGTTTCCGCCTGCGGCAGGCAGCGCGAGTCAGCTCGCTAGAGCCGGCTACGCTCTGTCAGCGCCCCGCGCCTCAGCCTCCGGCCGAGTGGCCGGATGAGGGGCGCCATGGAGCTGGAGCCCGAGGTGCTACTGCAGGAGGCCCGCGAGAACGTGGAGGCGGCGCAGAGCTACCGGCGGGAGCTGGGCCAGCGGCTGCAGGGACTTCAGGAGGCGCAGAGGCAGGTCGGAGGGCCGGGCCGAGGGAGGGCGCGGGCAGCGGGCACTGGGGGCGCCGAGGCTCGGGCGCTGCGAGTGTCGGAAAGCTTCGGCCCAGAAAGGAGGGGCGTCGAAGGCTCCCCGAGACCTAGGAGGGTCTGGGAGTGGGGAGCGAGACGCTGGGGGTCTGCAGGAGAAGGTAAGTTTAGGGGCTGGCGGGAGTGTGTGAGGAGCGGGATGTGGGTGGCGTCCTTTAGGGTTGAGTGTGAGGGACCGCAGAAAGATCTGAGGGATCCCAGGAGAGTCAGGGGAAGTGGGGGTCGTCTGGGAAAACCTGCGTTAGGTAGACGGTGACATTGGAGAGCGCGAGGACAATAAGGGGCCGTGATCCGAGGAGAGCTAAAGGTGGAGAGAAAAATGGGCATGGGAAAGGGAGGACTAGGAAGAGAAAGGAGGAAGGTGGGGGTTGAGAAGTGGCGATAATGCTAAATGGATGGATTGACGTGTGAGCCACGTTACATTTCTGAAAGAAATCGTTTGGAGTCATCTCGTTCTAGATGGTTTAGGATTTAAGGTGAAAAGGGTCCAAGGGGCAGAAGAGGGAAAACGAGACCCTCGAGGGAAGGTACAAATGTGAAGAGAAATGGAAAAGCAGATTTAAAGGGATGTGTGCTGAAAGCAGCTATGTATACTTTCAAGTGGTGCACTTATCTGTTCCCTGGGGAAAGGTTACCAAAGACATAGGACAGCTATATGGTTTCTCTGTGCCCTCAAACATGTTTAGAGCAAGAGATAGGCCATTGCTAATGGGTAATAAGATAGGTAATCCTTAGGCTACTGTTCACCTGAGTGTTTAATAAATGCTTTTTGAGTGATTAGGATTCCATTTTTGTGTCATGTGGGATCTTAATGTATGTCGTCATGCTAATAACTCCCATGCTTCATAGAATCTGAAAATGGTAGAGTACTACTGTAATAACAGTGTGCTTGAATATTATCACTGAGCATACTCAGCATGCTTTGGATTTTATGTATTTTAAAAATACTTATAGGGCAGCCTGGTGATGCACGCCTGTAATCCCAGCACTGGGGAGACGTGAGACAGGAGGATCACTTGAGTTTAAGGCCAGCTTGGGCCACAAATTGAGTTCAAGGCCAGCCTGAACTGCACAGCATAATCCTGTCTCAAAAAGACTCCCACCACCAAAATATCCTTGTAGAGCTGGTACTGTATAGATCAACCACCCTTCTCATTTTAGGAGCCTGCTATTGAGTGTGCATGGCAGTAAACCAAGCACTCAGGAGGATATGAGTTAAGGCCAGCCTGTATTACCTAGGGAGATCCTGTCTCAAAAAACTAATAAATAAATAAAAAGAAAACCCAACAAAACAAAAAAACCCAAAGCTACCCTCCCAAACCCAACTGGGAGCAGAATCTAGATAGTAGCCTGATTTGGTAAATACTTTTCAGGGCCTTCCAGTGCATTCATGTGGATTTCACTTTGGAAACATCTGCATGCAATATTCTGTTTATTTGTTTGTTTATTTATTGTCTTTTTAACTCACTCTGTACCCCAGGCTGGCCTTAAACTCAACACTATCCCGCTGTAGCCTCTGCAATACAGGGATTACAGGCCTGCACCACCACGCCCAGTTTATTTTTATTTTGGTGGGTTTGGAGACAGGGTCTCGAGGTGTAGCCCAAGCTAGCTGTGAACTCATGGTGATCTTCCTGCCTCAGCATTTTGAGTGCTGGGATTACAGGCATGCATTACCATACCTGGTTTGGTTCTGTTCTGTTCTATTTATTGTTTCCTATTTTAAAATAAAAGTCATGGTTTTGGGTTTTTTTTTTTTATAGACAGGGTCTTGCTACTCAGTTCAGGCTGGCCTTGAACTCACTATGTATAATGGAGGGCTTTGAATTTGTGGCAGTCTTACTGCCTCAGCCTCCCAAATGCTGAGATTATAGGCCTGTGACACCGTACCTGGCTGAAATTGTTTGAAAAGATATTAAAAACACCTCATGACTAATTCTTAGCCAGTTAAAGTGTACATATGAGCATGAGTGTTGTTTAAAAATATTAGTAGTTAAGTAGCAGTAGAGTTGACACTAAAGAATGGGATTAGTTCATGAGAGTTGTACTTAACAAAACTCTTACTCAATAATGGATGTGTAAAAAAAAACTTAGTGTGATTCCCATCTTACAGTGGTTCTGCTCTCAACTTCCAAACCTATGTTATTTTAAATTTTATGTCCTTTAAGTAAAGGACATACTTTCCTATAATTTAGTATAGTTTAGTATGATTTTTTGGTTTGTTTTAAAGGCCATTGTCTCAGCCTTCAGACAGAACACTAAAAGAATATCTATCATAGTTTTCTGATGACCTTGCTTTCTGACTAGACTAATAGTGTGTAGTTCTCTTTTGTCATCTGGAATGTGTTTTGTGCCAGTTCCAGTTGCAGCAGCTAATTCTAGTTGATTGTGCATGTTTGGGTTTGTAGAATAAGTCCTCTGTCAACTTGCATTTAAGGAAGGTCTGTTACAAAAATATTATCAAAATAAGCGGCTCCTTTTGTTTAGTGGTTAGGATATTTTTAGAGTGCCAGTCATTTTCAGAACAAATGTAAAATATATGGCTTCTTAGCCAAAGATTTTACATGAGGAAGGATAAAAAGTACAGAAGAAGGGATAATATTCATATATATATATATATATATATATATTTTTTTTAACTCACTGATTTTATTTCTTTTTGCTATATTTTTTAATTGCTTCTTTTTGTTGTTGTTGTTCTGAGGATTGAACCTAAGGCCTTTGCATTGAACTATATAGCCCCAGGGTTTTTAAATTTTGACATAGGATCTTGCTAAGTCTCTAAATTGCCCATACTGGGATTAAATTTATCATCTTCCCCCTCAGCCTCCCAGAGTCCTGGGATTACAGACATGTGCCACTATACCTGGCTTGTTGTATGCTTTTTTTTGGTGATGGGGGTACTGGGGATTGAACTCAGGGTGCTAAGCAAGTACTCTTTCACTAAGCTATAATTCCAGACCTTGATTTTTTTTTTTTCAAAACCAGGGATTAAACTCAGGCCCTTTGCTTGCCAGGCAAACGCTTATTCTACAGAGCCATCTTCCCAGCCCCCAGACCTTGATTTTTAAAAAATTGAAATATAATTAGTACACCATAAATATCATGTTTTAAAAGTATACATTTCAGGTTTTTTTTTTTTTTTAAGTGTATTTACAAAGTTGTTAAGCCACCATCATTGGCTACTTCCAGAATATTTTCTCCATCACCTCTCAACACTGTCTCTGAATATTCCATTCTTTTTAGCTGTCACTCTCCCGTTTTAGTATATGTGCTGCTGAAATGAGCTTTCTTAGCTGTCATTGTCGCTGATCCCCAGCAACTGAGAACTACTTTCTGTCTGTATGGATTTGCCTATTGTGGACATTTCATATAAATGGAATCATACAGTATTTAGCTCTCACGATTGACATCTTTGACTTAGCATGTTTTCAGGGTTCACCTAAATTGTACCATGTATCAGTACCTTAATCCTTTATGGCTGAATACTATTTGTTGTGTGGATATATCACATTTTATTTGGTCATTGGTGAATTGCTAGACATGAGGGTTATTTCTGCTCTTTGACTGGTATGCCCCTGTGAAGATCTATGTATAAATTTTATGTTAATATGTTTTCAGTGTTTTTAGAATATACCAGCAAATTACTGGATCATATGATAATCTTGTTTAAGCTTTGTTTAACCTTTTAAGAACTCTTGGTGTTTCTCTTATTTTCCTTTGAAAATCTCTCATAAAGGCTGAAGACAGGGGCCAGGGATATAGCTCAGTGGCATAGGTGCCGGCCTCACAAGTGCAAGGCCCCTTGTTCAATCTCCATTCAAAAACAAACAAACAAAAGCTGGAGGTGCTTGCACTTGCTTGTAATCCCAGCATCATGCATACCTAGGGGGTGGGTGGGGGTAGGGGTGGATAAAGAAGGAAAATTGCAAGTTTAAGCCTTGGCAATTTAGTGTACTGGGAGGGGTAAAAAAACCATCATAAAATTTGTCTCATGTTAAGGAATCATGTATATGAATGTCTAGAGGAAAAAGAGATACTAGAGGTTTTTCCACATACAGTGTACTGTGGAAATAGGCCACCACTTTCAAGGATTTACTTTTCTCTTTGTTGACTGACAATTAGGTTATTGCCCCTAAAAATAAAATTTTCATGTAGAAGGATGAAAGTCTTGAGTTATTCTGTCAAAAACAACTGCTAACAAGTAACAGTTTCGCCTGTGTGGTTAAGTGTAGGCCCTCCCCTGTGTTTTTAGAGAAAAGGAAGTTCTGTGTAGGAATGCAAGAGTTATCTTGTCTGTCTTACTGTTTAAGTTAAGGGCTAGAGAGATGTTTGTTGCCTTCAGGAAATCAGATAATGTTTATAGCCAGCCTGTCCTCCTGTTGAAATCATTAAGGGTACAGTAGTTCTCTGTAGCTGTCTGGAATCCTTGGTGCTAAGATGTAAATACCAAAGACATTAACTCCCACTCTCTTTAAATATTTATTTGTTCATTCACTCAGTAAATATTTGTTGGGCATCAGAAGTACTTCTAGATACAATGTACTGTGGAAATAGGCTACCACTTTCAAGGATTTATTTTTCTTTGTTGGCTAACAATTAGGTTATTGCCCCTAAAAATAAAAATAACCGAAACACATTAGTTCTTGGATATTTATTTTTAGATTTTACATCCAGTGTATTTTTCATTATTTGTCCTATTTCAACAGCGTTGGTTTTTCTGCTTGTATGATTGATCAAATGCATGTCAGATGTCCACTGTAGGATGCCTTGAGGACATTACTACAGACTGGGGCCTGGTCCTTAGGCTTTGCAGGTCCAGAATCTCTCTGTCTTTTTATATTATTGGAGGAGAGTTAGTTTGAGGCACAAGAGATGCCTAAGGTGAGAAATGCCAATAAAGTTATAATTCATGCTCTTAAAATGAATGTAGAGTGCCTTTCAGTAATATGATTCTTTGTGTTTCTGGACATTGACCACTGTGCCATGTGTGCCATAGGTGGACCACCACTGGTTTAGACTAATAGTGTAAGCCAGGAGTGGTGGCACATTTACTCTGCTCTCGCAGATTAAATGGTTGGAGTCTGGTAACTGACCTACT